ACAGTAGGGCAAATTCTATTTTTCAAGCCTTACCGAACTATTTTTGATTCTTGTGTACATTTGCTCTTAAATAAAAAGTAACAAATGAAAAATGAAATGCCTGAAAAATATAATAATAATAATAATAATAATAATTCTTTATTAAGCTCATTCAAATTCTTCACTAAAACTTTACGCAATAATTATTATTTTACAGCACAAAACCATTTATAATTATAAGAATTCTCATGAAGAAAAAAGGAAGCACACTGTAGTTTAGAGAAATGAATGAAATTGAGTAGATTTGAAAATTGGAATGACTTGTTTAAAATGTCACAGAAACATGGCATTATACACGGGAAGTAGTCAAAAACAATAGGTAATTACTCTCAACTTTACAATACACATTCTACTAATTATGGAATCTTACCCGTCTACTCATAGTAATAGATAATTTTCAATAATAGCAATAATTACAGCAATAACAATAATAACAATAATAACAATAATGACAGTAATAACAAAATTGATAATTAAAGATCTTTTATGAGGATGCTCCCATCACTTAAAACTATTTTTCAGTGAAAGTAGTTTTGTACAATGGTCTGAAAATGACTTGAAGTATCTTGGCAGAGCTCCCGTAAATATTGTTTTTAGCCGAAAGGTCATTTTTGACAAAGAGTAAGTAATTTGGCCCCGATTGCAAAGGGCTTATTATTTTGAGATTCTCTGCGTAAAAAGTGAGACAGATGGGCGTAGAGCAGAAAAATGAGAAAGGGACACTTCCTTTGACAGTTACCGCCATGAAAGGTATGGAGTTTGAGTGCACTGAGCAAGGACAACATTGAGTTAAATACCAAATTGCTCGTGCACATCATGTGCCTACGTGTACATGTATGTTTTACAGGCTCTTTTATACTTTCGTATTCTCTTACAGGATCATATTAAGGAATGCCTCAAGTTTCCATTACCGTGTCCAAACATTTGCGGTGTTTCTATTCCCAGAGAAAAAGTAAGGCACTTGTTAGTGTTATTTATCGATGATTATGTGACATATTATTATAGTAAGATGACCCAGGTCAGTGGAAACACATTCATTTAAACACTAAGTCTTTTTCGTTAACAAACCGTAGAACTTTGGATCTTAGGTGAGCAAACGCTCTTTTCTCTGCATCGCGCGAACATTTTGGGATGAAAACGATATACATGTAAGTCAACGTAATGTGCCATTGCAGATTGAACCAATTTAAATACGTTACAATTAGGAAGCTTCGAGCAAAAACAAAGACGAATGCTGTTAAGATTAATACTGTAGTTGGGATGTCAGAGGCTGGAACAATCTACGAATCTCAGTGAATCTCAGACCTGTGCGAGTCTAACATTCAGCTCGCCTCAATTTAAATCTGGTATTATTTTTATGACAAGGCCATAAAGATCATGATCGCAGCTAAGAAAAAAAAGCAAAGCGTTGTTAAGATTGTGCCGGTAAGATTAAGACTGGTCGCAATTGTCAGCAAATATTGGCTTAATCATTTGAGGGGATGCGCAATATACATGTATGCCCGTGATATAACTCACTTTAGTTCAAGTTTGACTGTTTTTCCCAGAAAAAAGGGCTTTTTTTTGGTTGGTCACAGGTTTTCATCAGCTGATTGTGGAGAAGCCATTGCCTAGTGGTTAACAAACCGGATTTTTAATCCGGGGATCGAAGGTTCAAATTCTCCCTGCTGCTAGATGGATTTGTGCTCGGTGGACCGTAATTCAACTCCTCCACGTCTTGCATATAGTCAACTGGTCAGCCTCCGACTAGCTGGCATTTTTTTTATTTATAATTGCAAGATGTCTCTGAAGTTATAGTGTCCCCAGTTAGCACAGCAGTGCTAATGTCATGACACTTAAATAAAGTGATTTATTTATTTTTGTTAGTAACCACCTAATCGGCTTCTTGCATTTCAAATAAACTTGTATTCAGTTCTATCTTTCAATCTACATTCCCGCAGTTGGTCGGTCGCTCTTTTGATGAAACCCAAGATCGACTTTCTGTCTTTCAGATTCCAGACCACGCCACAAACGATTGTCCATTGACATTAATTCCCTGTCCTTATGAACAGATAGGCTGCAAAAGAAAGGTAAACGTCCAGGTTTTAGGATGAAATATATGCACGCATAACGAATGGAATTTCACGATTTTCAGTAATGCGAAATTCCATGAAGATAGTAAGTAGATTAGCACTGAGATGTGGAGGATGAATCATGTTCACATGTCGCTTCATCTAGAGTTACGTTTTCCTTGAGGTGGCTCAAAACAGTTTCCAGCAGTTAGATTTGGATGGGTCATTATAACCACTCTTTATCACTTGATGCTGCAAGCATGGTATCAAAAAACTGCTAAATCACTGGTGAACACGTTATTATCATTTTCGTGACATAGCAACTGTATGACCTGCTAAAAACACCCTTAATTACAGCTTTGGGGGCTTATAATTCAAAAACGGCACGGTGAATGTTTTTTATATTTTCAAATTTTAATAAGCGTGATAAGACGCAACGTTTGGCAAAGTTTTAAAAAAATTTCTACATAGGGTTCAGAGCCACCTTAAATTTTTGAAAATTTACTGTTGCTATGGTAACCTATTGTGTCACGAAAATGATAACAACCTGTTCACCAATGATTGGGCAGCTTTTTAATACCATGATTGTAGCATCAAGTGATAAAAACTAGTTATAAACGACCCATCACAATCTTTTTAAAAAGTGCTAGAAACTGTTTTCGACCACCTTAAGTGTCCTATGTTGTTACTCAAAGTACTCTACTCTATTTTGTGTCATTTTTTATTGCTATGTTTAACTACTGATATTGTTTCATTAACTTTGTATTTTACTCCCAATTTTTAAACTGGAAAATAATATTTTCTACATTGTAGATGTGGATGGGAGATTCACTCGATCCTTCCTTCGCTCCTTCGTTTACTACTAGGCTTTTTGTGAAACCGCTAACCAATGTATAAGGCTTTCGCAGTCGTTGCGAAGTTCAAGTTATAGCGGAGCTCCTGCGCGCCGAAGGCACGCGAGCGTAGCCCCATATTTTAGAAAATTTGGTAACCATCGAACTAAAGAAATTTGGTTGTTACGTGTCTGTCCGTACGTCTGTACCCCAAGCCCAATACCCTGAAAAATAGGATACTAGCACCATTACCATAGGTACGTCGTTGATATTAGACATCCATGTTATTGTAAATTGAAAGCTGTCAAATCAACGTATCCACTGACCAGTATTACGTGACCACATCGCAGGCTCAGGTTAACAGCTTAAGTACTGGTCTTCCTTTTGATCCCAGGCTCAAGTCAGGTTATTACTCTGAAGGGAGTACGTGCAAAGGCAAAATTTCGGCTCAAATTAACCCCTTGATTTTTCTTGCGACATATTCCTTGCACAATCGTCTCTTGGAAGTCCGAGATATATTGTGTACGTAGTTTCTACAATCTTGGTTACGCTTGTCGGGTATAGTTTATTAAAATTAAACTGGAAAAATAGCAAAACCACACGCTGAACAATTACATGCTCACAATCGATCATTTTTTGAGTTTCTGATCCGAGAAATCCTCTTTTTCCACTATGGTTAATTATTGCAACCAGGAGCTCCGCGTCTAGGCTTGGTTAAATCTATATATCATTCCAGATGAAACAATTTCCTTACCAAGTGATTGGCTTAAATTTTATTCAGTGGCAGTGTTTCTCATTTGTTCTTTGCATTTCTGACGCAAGTACTCAACATCTCACCACTGAAATAATCTACGTTTTCGTGTGAACGTCTTTATATAGAAGCTCATTATAAAAGCGCATTACCCGAAGGTGTCCGCTTAATACAGAGTTGACTGTACTTGAATGCCGAAAAGAAGATATTGAAAATCACAAAGTGTTGAGCTTTATGAATTACCGAATGATTAAAGCCGTGATGAAAATTTTCAGAGGAGAAACGCACAGGAGAATAGCACATTTGGACGATGTCGTCATTCTACTACAACTACCATAATTCATTTCGTTTTTTTTTTTTCTCTCTCTCTATTGTAGTTGAACCTTCCGTAAGCGACAAACCAAAATAAAATAAATAAAGACATGGCAAAATGATATGAACAAATAGATGCTGAAAAGAATAAAAGACCCTATACAGGGCTGGGAGTTCTGTACGGGTCCGCAAATGATCTCAGGACCGCAAATGATCCCGGACCGCAAATGATCCCCATAATGGACCGCAAATGATCCCCATATTGGACCGCAAATGATCCCGATCAAAACAATAAGGAATGGCATGGATGGTGGAATGGTGTGGATAGGGAATTGGCGTACGTGAATACCGATGTTTTTA